TATTATTATTATTATTATTATTATTATTATTATTTTAGGCCTGCCCAATAGTTAATATGGATCTTAGCATGTCTCCCGAATTTTGTAGTCTACTTGGCCCAGTTTTTCCTCCATACCTCTTGTAATCATTCTGCGAATAAATCCTTTATGAAGTTTCCTGTCTTCGTCCCATGCCTTACTCCATGTGTTCGCATGGTGCATACTTTTCGTGCTGGCTCAAAAGTAGTCCATCCCTTCTCTTAGGTCGGGTCTTCGATCGCGCGCTACCACATAATCTAGAAGCTGTTTTATTAACGTGCAAGAGACTAAAACATCCCAACAACGAATTAGCAAACAAATCGTCATTTCACCACTCTTGCCCATTAAATACAAACTAGGAGAGGAAAAGCAGGAGAATTTGGGAAAAAAACTTCAAAAGTTAATCTCCAAAAAGGGTCTGCTTCTTGTCAACTGGTGCAGTCAAAGTTTTCCGCGTCACAGATTTGATACGCCTCAGTCTATAAAAACTCAAAGAGCAACGGGCAAAATAACTAGCCACGTGAAAATTAATAACATCGAAAGTTATATTACGATTACGTTTCCTGCATCGCACTGTATCACCGACAGACTGCCGCTGAAGGTCTATGTTTATGCATATCTTTCACATCCTAAAACACTGATAATTTTCTCATAATCTAAGTTAAATATGGATGAATGCTGATATTTCGTACCAACCACTAAAAAATAAACCGCATTGGAATTTTCTGAACTCATGATGTTTACCAATGTATTTGTGGACTATTTGGTCACTCTCCTGAGCAAAAAGAGGCTAATCATAGGTTTTGGCTTGCTTCCTTTAACAAAGTAAATGTACTCATTGAAGTTCTACTTCTATATTCCGATTCAACCCAATCTTGGCAGACAAGTAGTCTAAATATACAGTCAATTTACGTTCGTTCCTTTGAAATTGCAGGATTACGGGGCTATTATTAATGAGTTCTTACCTCACCTGACGTTATTTTTGACATACTAGTGCCTCGTTTGGTGCTGCGGCATTAATATCGGTGAACATCGGTAAGACAGCAAAAAAATTTAGCCAGCCATTATGTATGGACGACAATTTTTAATTTTCATCAGATGACTTTGCTTTTGTTGTCCATAGTAAAGAAAGATAGCCCTAAGATTTAGCCGTTATTTCTTCCATATTAATTTAACCCAGTCTGTATTAGAGTCATAGCTTTATCCTTCACTCCTGTTCTCGTGTTGGTCTCTAAATAAACAATATCTTCGATGGTGTATTGCTAATCCTTAACGTAAGCCAATTTGGCAGACAATGGATAAAATGATCCTGGTGTAGTCTACAATTTCTATGCTCTTGTTCCTCTCAGCAAAAACAATAAAGAATAATTTAGCCTGAACCGAAGTCAGACGTTTCTCATCCCAGTCTGCCACCTTATTTGCGGCGATTCTTATATACTCCTCATCTGACCTTGGCTCTGGTTTGCTATAGATCATCATCACAGGCTACATAAACGCTCAGAGACAGAAAATTGGTTATCTCTACGTAGTCCAATATGTCTGCGCATTGTGTGTCACTGTTGTAAAATACCCGAGCTATTATAGGTAGAAGACTGGCACAACAGAACACAATCCAGTAAAACACGTCAGGCGCCGTTCATCCGAGTTCGCCACGCTGGATTCGCCGCTTATTATATGTTGTTCCCCATTCGTGTCAGTCGCTGGTTGGCGGCCTATCTTCCTCGCATACTATTCCAACGCATAGAGACAGAGGATTGGCTGCATTCTCGTGCGTTTTCTGTCGGGCGGTACTCGACCATACAATTGAATTGACTCAACACCACTAACCACCTAGCGATTATACCCGTTGGATCTTTAAAACAACACAGCCGGCTCAGGGCGTGACGATGAGTACGCATCACGATTTCACTCCTCAGGAGGTATTATTTGTAGTGCTCGTGAAAATAATTTAAGGTTAGCGTTTCTCGTTTCGCGGCCTTATAGTTCCGTTTGGCTTTCGATAAGGCCCTGCTACCAAACGCAATAAAATGTTCATAACCGCCAGGTCGTGCTTATTGAAGCACTGTTCCAATTGCCATGATTGACGCATAGATGTCCAAAATAAAAGGTGTGTGGTCATTCCGGAAATTAGGAAAGGCAAGAATCGGGCTTCCTCTAGGCGGCCTTTGAATTTAGAGAACGCCTGTTGGCATTGCTCCGTCAACTCTCACCTACGCTATTTCTTTGTAAGCTTGTAAAGAGGAAAATGAATATTCCCAAAACTCTGAATAGACTCATGGTAATACGTTGCTGATTCTAGAAACCCCCGTAGCTGTTCCACATTGGTTGGTGTCGGCCATGTCCTAACCTTTTTCTTTTTATTCTGATACATTCGAATACCTTATTTTGAAACTGCGTGGCCCAAAATCCCTAAAAAGTGTGCATTTCCTGGGTTAAGCTTAATTTTTGCCAAATGAAGTCGTTCAAAGCATTACGTAGCCTCCTAATAGGCTGCTTGATATCCTTTGCGTGGAAGATCACGTAATCTATGTAAACGAAACACTCCTGCGGAAATATGTCACAAAGGACTGTGTTAATAATTCGTTAAACCGTCGCCAAAGCGTTAGCTAGGATAAGAGCATAGTCTCGAATTCGTACAGCACTGACGGAATCTCAAATGTCGTTTTCCCTCGGTGGGTTGGGTTGATCTCGACTTGCCAGTAACCCGACTTAAAATACAAAGTAGCGAACGATGTCGACCTACCTAAGTTGTGTAGCGTGACATCCATGCTCAGAATAGAAAAATTATCATTCACTGTGCCTTCATTGAGTTTCCGATAGTCCACACATAGCCCAATGGTACCGTTTTTCTTTTTGACGACAACTATAGGCGATGCCCATGGAGAAGATGACCGTTTGATGATTTTCTTCTGTAACATTTCCGCGATGGCTTCCTCAACTGCCTGCTGATAAGCCTCAGGTATCCGTCGGGGTCGTTGTCGAATAGGGCATGCCTCCGTCGTGTGAATGTCGTGGAACAAAACATTTATTCGACCAGAGTCTGCCCCGTACCACGCAATTACCTCTGCATATTTTCAAACCAGCTTGAGAATCTGAGTAAGATCGAGCATCTCATAATCTGCTTGTGTGCTTACCAATCGGTCTAGCTCCTCTGGGGTTCGGTGTGCCTAAGTCATGGTCGCTAATATGGCCCCGTTACTCTGGTCATAAACTACCAGTACATCATGAAACCCTAGACTTAGGCAACGCTTTGGTCTACCGTATTCGCCCGCGCACCTGTCAAGGAAGTCTGACCCTAATATACCATCGTATGGCATGTCCCGGTATAAATATCAAGTATGCCGGTACAGTCTACACTCAATAGTGAGTGAGACATCAACACACCCCACACTGCGCATCACAGTACCGTTCGCGGCTTTAACACTAATCGACGACTCCACCAGGAATGGTTTGAACGTCTTCCGAGTAAACCGCCGTGGGTTAACTAGGAAGCATCCGGCACCCGTATCAACTAGCAAGTGCATTAACATACTGCATAGACCTATGTAAATGAAGGGTCGGGTTTCAGCACACGACGCATAATTGGCAGGGCATGAAAATGGCCCACCTGGAGGCTTCTAACAACCTTTTCCACTACAAGATTCACCCGTCTATAGTCCGCCAGGTCCTTTAATCGCGGTCCTTGGAAACTGTTCGTTTTTTGTCATCACTGTGGAATGTGTCATGGCTTAGCCGGTTTGGAGAACTGGACTTTGTCTCCCAGGTCAGGGTCCGTCATGAGAGCCTTATGTACGTCGGTAATTGATCGGGTAGCAAGTTCCCAGGTAGTCTCCAGAGAAAGTTTGCTACTGCAAAGCCCTCTTGTGTCAAACCTGGGTAACCTCGTCTGACCAGATAATGAATTCCAGCCATATAATCAACGATACGCTCTCCAGGCCGATATCGCCAACTAAAACGTTGCTGCAAAATGCTCTCGGCGTCCACCGTGAACAATTTAAATAACTCTTCAAGCAATTGTGCATAGGGGATATCCTCCGAGCAGCCTGACATAGTGGCAATGTGCCTGGCAGCAACAGCCAGGTTTCTCATCCCCATGCGTGATCGAGAACTCGGTTCTTCGTATCTCAGGAACCGCTCCATCTAGTCCACCAAAGTCTCGATATTAAACGCGGGCGGTTGAGGGTGGAACTCGCCTCTGACCCATAAGATTTTGTCACTTTACGGGTCCGATTCCGTCTTTGAGACGGTACCGCTGACACAAATTGTACGCTTTGGCCCCATAGTATGATCAAGAAAAGGGTCAAGCAAAATAGAGTCCTTTAATAAAGGCTGAAACAAGCCACAACCTAGTCACAACTTGGTCGGGCGTTAGGGGAAAACAGGGTCTTTGTATATCCTTGTCCTGGCTGTCCTGTTCTCCAATTGGTCCGTTCCGGGGCGCTTTAATGAAGACGCAAAACGTAAGAGTGGATTAGCTTTCGCGTGACGCCACGCAGCTGGAAGTCGCGCCCCTGGTCACATGACGCCGTCAAAACGCAACACAAATTACCTTCGTCTAATGACTAGCGTCAAGATGGCGACTATCTCCCGTTCCGCAGCAGAATACCCTAGCCCAAATATGAAGAATACTGGTACAACAGAAAAGGCTTTATTGACTAATCACAAGCCAATACTACATGTCAGGCGATGTCAATCCGAGTCCACCATGCTCCTCATTCGTGTCTTTCCCTGGTTGGCTACTTACTTCCTCGCGTGCCATTGAAATGAAAAGACACAGGATTGGCTGAGGCCAGGTGGTCCAATATGTTTTCGCCCATATATACGTACAGGCTTATACGGAACAGGCTTTATTGACCAATCAGAAGCCAGAACCACATGTCAGGCGCCTTGCCTCCGAGTCCACCACGCTGGGCAAACCGCTCTTTATATACTGCCCCTCAGTTGTGTCCTTCTCTGGTTGGCTGCTTATCTTCCTCGCACGCCATTGGAACGCAGAGCGACACAGGATTGGCTGCGGCCAGGTGGTCCAGCATGTCTGCGCCCTAATCCGACGCCACTGTAGAATACCCGAGCCCTAATAGAAAAAAAACACCAGTACATCAGAACAGGCTTCATTGACCAATCAGAAGCCAGAGCCACACGTCAGGCGCCTTCCATCCGAGTCCACCACGCTGGCCACGCCACTCATTATATACTGCATCTCATCCATGTCCTTCTCTGGTTGGCTACCTTCCTTTCCCGCATGCCATTGGATCGCAGAGAGACACGGGATTATCTGAGGCCAGGTGGTCCAACATGTCTGCGCCCTAATCCGACGCCACACTGCCTCCCCCTCAGCAATGAAGCTGCCCTT